TTCACGCACTCTCTCTTAACCCCATTTGTGGACGGCTTGTACAAAATTTTTATACATGTCTCATCCTTGCAGATTTTTGTATCATTATGATGAATATGATACAAAAAAAAAAAAAAAAAAAAAAAAAAAAAAAAGGGGATATGGGGTGAGATAAGGTGAATACAGCAGATAGATCAGATTCCATCTCCCTGTAACAAGGCGAAAGGGAACTATCCGATGTAGTCGAAACTGTAGTATAATAAAATGTAAACTAAACCGTCACATATCGCGTTTTACAAGGACAAAGATGTACATAAAAATGATTACAACGTATAAACTATGTTAACGTAATACACATTTTGAGAATACCACAAATGAGCTGTCCATCGAATTGGCAAAAAAAAAAAAAAAAAAAAAGAAAGAAAGAAGGAACGAAAGGCCAATATGCTCAGTAACTTCTTCCAAATAGGCACCACCTCTTGGCAGGTTTTCCCGACCAGAAACATTTCGTATTCGGTGGGAGTGGCGGTTGATCTAGTGGAATACATAAAGGCTTCATAGCGCCGGAAAGAGACGTTTCCGTGTTAGCCTGGTTCTGAGATAATCTCTGTGTCTCTTTCTTTATTTCTTCCTCTGTTGATATGTCCTCACACCATGGCGCTAGGACCATTTTCTTCCTATTCAGGGCATCCATAACTTCACTGAAGCTGGTTACTTGAACAATTGATTCATCTAATTTCTTTTTGGCTTTTAGAAAAAGCTTCTTATGAATATCTACAAGCATCTGTTGCGTTTCCAGCAAAACGGACTCCTTCTTCACATTGAATTTTTCGTTGGTGTCTCTCCTTACAAAAACGCAAGAATTATTTTGAATATCTTTGGGCCCTACTTCAATCCTTATGGGCACTCCCCTCAATTCCCAGTGGTTAAATTTGTACCCAGGAGAGTACAAATCCCTGTCATCAAAGATGCAATTAATTTGGGCATTCTTCAGCACCTTTTCAATATCTTTACAATAATTAAAAATAACATTTTCATCTGTGTTTTTGTACAAAATTGGCACAATGACTACTTTAAATTTAGCAACCTTGGGTGGCAAAACTAATCCTTTGTCGTCCCCATGTGTCATGATCATAATTCCAATTGATCTGGTGGTGCACCCCCAGGAGGTCTGATGTACATACTGCTTTTCATTTTCATCCTCAAATTCGATTTTAAACATCTTTGCAAAATTGGTACCGAGGTAATGTGAAGTGGCTGCTTGTATGGCCCGTCCATTTTCACTTATAAAAGCTTCTGCAGTGGACGTAAAATTGGCTCCTCCAAATTTTTCCCCTTCACTTTTTATTCCTTTAATAATTGGAACAGCTAAACATTCCTCGTACCACCTTCTATACAAATCCAGTATATCGAAAACCATTTTCACAGCTTCTTCTTCATTTTTATGAGCCGTATGTCCTTCTTGCCATAGGAACTCTCTTGTCCTAATAAACGGGGTGGGTTGTTTAAATTCCCATCGAACGACCGTGTTCCACTGATTCAATTTAAGAGGCAAATCTCTGTGCGATCGTATCCATTTGGAGAACACAGAATACATAATCGTTTCACTCGTTGGCCTAATGGCTATTTCTTCAGGGAGGGTCGAATCGCCATATTTTGTTACCCACGCAACTTCTGGGCTGAAACCTTCTATGTGATTTTTTTCCCTCTCCAATTTATTCTTCGTTACAAAGAGGGGGAAATAGGAATTTTCCACATCCAACTTTTTTATTTCTTTGTTAAAAAAGGTTTGTAGGCATTCCCATATGTAGTAGGAAGCAGGTCTGAGGATGTAGCAACCGGAAATATCGTAGTATTCAATCAACTCTCCCTTTACAATGACCTGTGTGTACCATTCTGAGAAGTTGACCGTTTTCTTAGCTACGATTCCTAGTATGTTGGCGTCTTTCGCATGGTCGTCTTTTCCCGCATTCGCGCAGCTACCCATGCCGCTTCCCCCCTTTTGCTTCTCCAATTTTTCCTCCTCCATTTGCATGTCCTCCTTCTTAATCTTGTCCCTGCCCTCCTCAATGTGGATATACTCCGGGGCGTGGTTATGCAACTCACAATATTTGACGACGTCTTCCTGTTTCATATACAAGCTGCTGTAGTTGTGCATTGGATGGACAATTATATTTTCCATGTTCTTCAATTCCTCGTCAAAATATAGCTTCACAATATTTTCCTGATCACATTTCAAAGCAAGGGGAGTTAAACAACCTGGTAACAAATTGAGCATGCTTTTTAAATTCCCCTCATCCACGAATCTTAAATTGGAGGTTTTAAAAATGGTGGATAAATATTTTAAGTCGACTGTTTTCCAATTTACTGTACATAGGAAGAAATAATTTTTTTTTTTATCTTTGAGGAATAAATTTTTTATAATATTTTTCGAGTTTTCTAAATTCATATCTAGCAGATCCTTAATCGAATTTGCCTTTGCATGCTTCACTTCTTTGTATTGAATTTTTAGTTCGTCTAGCTCTTTGCATAATATTTCAGCCTTCTTCAATTCCTCCTCTGGTATGTTCTCTTCACAACTGGGGCTACTCATTTTGTTCAAAATGGAACTTCTCTTCACAAATACCTTCACGTAATGCTTGCTGTAATTGGAGCCTTTCACTGAGGTATATAAAAGGGGTTTTAGCAATCTCATGAACTTGTCATGATACCGGCACAGGGGTGGTCGCGTGGTGGTGGTAAGTGGGATGCTAAGAATTCTCAATTCTGTTTACTCATGCGTGTTTATTTGTTTAGTTGCCTTAGTTTATTGGACTCCAATTTTTTTTTTTTTTTTTTTTTTTTTCCCGTTCCTGATGAGAGTTAGGGAAGCTCGACGTTTGTTTAGAACCACAAATGTGGAACAGAATTATGCGCACGCTACAGCCTTTGACGGGGTAAGCAGCAGGACGAATGTACTCAAAACCGAAATTACGAATGAAGTAAGCGAACAACGGACTGCCTTCACTGCTGTTCGAGTTGCGAACGGAAGATCATCAAAATGGCAACGCAGTTGTACAGAGGGGTGACGTGGAGAAAAAAAAAAAATAACAGTAGTGCAGGTTGGCGCCAAATAAAATACAAATCAGCTGTTAACATTTCCATAAATATGTACATATATATGTATATATATTTATATTTATATATATGTATATATATACTTATATGCATATAGGCGTACACGGCGTCGGTGATTTTCTTAACTGCGATCGCGCTTGAACGAATCGCTTTTAAATGCGAAGGCACACGAATGGCAATATACATCGGGCATTATAATGACACCCTTATGAGAATGCACAAGTACATACATATGTACCGCACGCTACATATAAAAAGAAGAAATTCAGTAGAAATACAAATGCAGGCAGAGTAGCAACGATAGTCGTGCTTAGGAACATATATAATGGGTTGCTCTAAGAAGGGCGTGTATTAATATTGGAGAATCTTTCCTTCGTTCGAATAAAGGAAAAAATTAAAAAAAAAAAAAAATTACGTCATTTTACTGGTATATATTATGAAAAAATGGCATAAGAGACTACTACAGATGTGTAGCTTTTTTTTTTTTTTTTTTTTTTGTTGTGCCACTCAGGCATAAAGCGGTAAAAAAAATGAAAAAATAAAGCCACTTGAAATGAGGTTAACAAATTAAGCATACCAACTGGTGAATAGCACCATCCGTTACTAATCTATTTGTGAATATATTTCCCCCACATATATGGAGCAAATGCCATATGTGGACTTTTCTTTATTTCTCAACATGTATATGTTAACCCGTTAAATGGTCATTCAGCGTTGACAACACCCCATTGTGGAAGTTATACAAATATATTTACACTCACACCCACGTTCTTTTTTTTGTTTTTTTTTCTTCTCATAGCATGTGCAGAGGAGCTCTTAACAAAATGTAGCATCAAGGAACACCCTTTTGTACGAATTGCACATTTTTTGTTTTTTATTTTTGTAAAAAATTGCCTAACAAAGTTGTGAAAAAAAAAATGGTCATAAAATTTTATCCAGGGGGGTAAGGTCACCACGTATGCACGCATTTAGGCATCCTCGCAGACATACATAAAGGCCTACAAAATTAGCACACGCTTTTGACACATCATGCAGGGAAAAATAGCACAAGTGGTATGACCAAGGCGGATAAGTAATAAGATGGTGTTCGGTGATTTGGTGAGCTGTCTTTTCGCGCGCACTTTGCATCATCCATCTTTACAAAATGAATGTAATATAATGGAACCGTAGTGTGACGCCACAATTTTATAAAAATGCATTAAAAGAACGAATCTAACGCCACATGCGTAATGGCAACCGTGCTCGCGTTCGTGGTTTTGTTAGGATGCTATGTTACCATGGGGTCACCTGCATATGTGCCTTTGCAAAATTAAGGTCACATACGTAGACGTACATATAGCTGTTCATAAATACCTACACACTGATGAAAGTCCACTCGCATGCACATGCGCATATAAACGCGCCACATCATTGGATGCACCCTTTTTGCTCTTTCCTAAGGTTACACAATCTTTGCTGAAAGATAAATATTAGAGAAGAATCTCCGGCGATGTTTAAAAAAAAACAAAAGTTATGTTGTTTATGTGACAAAAAAAAAAAAAAAAAAAAAAAAAAAAAAATGCGTTCATCCTAATTATTCATCTGTTAGAAATGAACAACTGATATATGGAACGAATGGAGGGTGGAAGGAGGAGGTATTTCGGGGTGCATGTGGGTCAAATGCATGTGTAGCACGATGATGTAAATATTACTCTACTGCTTAAAAGAAGGCCACAATTTGAGGCACATAAGCTCAACACTGGCATTTGAGCTAGCATGCACAACTTGCGTTTAAATGTACGTAATAACGTAGCAACGCGTGAAAATCAAAAATGATATATATAAAAAAAAAAAAAAAATAGTAGCGTCATGACGCAGTCAGCACAGGTGCAACAAAGCAAGGTGTTCCCTATTTCAGCGGACAGTTACTCCTGTGAGAGCCACTCCGCAAAGGCCTTTAGCCGCTTGTTGTTCACCAAGTACTCGTCCTCTGCGTTTTTGCTGATCCATCTGTAAAGTGGTGGAGGGAAAGGAAAAATGGGCAGTGTGTGTGTACAACTATGCATGCTAGCCATGCTAGCGGAAAAACGGGTGATTATTCACACGGATAGAAACATACGAACGAGTGAGTCATTTTACTGACAAGCAATTCGGCTCACGCGACATTGATGTTAGCTGTGTCGTGACTTTATTTTATTCTTTTTTTATTTTCCTGCTTACTCATTAAAATAGTTGAACTCAAAAATATCCGAGTGGTAAATGTACTCAAACGCCGCACACAATTTGTCCGGGCCGTACACATTATTTTGAACGTCATTTGCAAGGAATTCCTTTTTGGAAAAATCTAAAATCAAGCCGTAGATGGTTTCGTAGTATAACTGGTCTTCCAGAAGAAAAGAAGAAAATAACAAATCCAATTTTGCCTCTTCAAAATTTTCCACCCATGTGTCCTTATCAAACTCCATATTATTAATAAAGTCCCAAACTATTGGGAAAAATGAAACGATAACATCTAGGTCTGTATAATTTAGGGATAGTCTGAAAGTTTTCATTTCTAAAATTTTGTAACTCATATGCTGTGGTTTGTCAATTGCTTGTTTGCACAATAATGATATTTCTTTTACAAAAGAATTTTTTTCATTTTCCAAATTTATTTTGTCAAAGTGGTTATTTATATCACTCATGTTTGCAGTGCTGCTACAAATGGATTCATCTTCCTTGTCACTTACATTGGTATCGCTTAAGGTGCTGTAGTTTTTCGATGTGGAGTACACGGAGTCCTCGTCACTGTCCTCTTCCGAGTCGTACTGTGAAAACATGGTCATTTTCATTTTCCCATAGTCCTCTGCGTCCCCGATTAAGGAGAAAAGCCGAAGCTGTTCTTCAGAGTACTTGGTCTTTACGATGAAATTGTTCAGTTCAAAGGGCTCTCCGTGCAGCACGTCGTGCTCGCTTGGTTCTTCCTCTGCGATGTCACCGTTCTCCTCGCCCAGCTCTTTCGCGCCCATCGCCATTTCATTCACCTCCTCCTTCTCTTCTTCCAACTCTTCATCTACTGCCTCATGCACCTCTTCATCTTCTTCACTCATCTCTTCCTTCTCTGCTTCCAACTGTTCTGTCAACTCCTCATCTTCGTCTTTCAATTCCTCATCTTCTTTATTCACCACCTCATCCAATTCATTCAGCTCTTCCTTCTCTTCTTTCAATTCCTCATATTCTTCCTCATGCAACTCTTCATCGTGCAACTCTTCCTCATGAATCTCCTCATCGTGAATCTCCTCATCGTGAATCTCTTCATGGTGCACCTCTTCATCATGAATCTCCTCATCGTGAGCCTCCTCATCATGAGCCTCTTCTGTGTGAACCTCTTCATCGTGCACCTCTTCATCTACATCCTCATGCAACTCTTCCTCATGAATCTCCTCATCGTGAATCTCCTCATCATGAATCTCTTCCTCATGCACCTCTTCATGTTCTTCCTTCAATTCCTCATCTACTTCTTCATGCACCTCTTCGTTGATGTTTTCCTTCTCTTGCTTCTGCCCTTCCGCGGCCTCTTCACAGTCCTTGTGGGTAATCTCTTTGTGGGCGGCCTCCTGCTCGACCTGCGGGGAGGGTGCCTCTCCACCATTCGCGTCCAGGGCAAAGTCCTTCTTGTCCCTTTCCTCAGCGGAATTATCGTCCTGCAATTTGCTCCTTCTGTGCACCTTCAACTGTCCCTTTAGATGTTTAAACGCGCTTAATCTGGTATACTTGCCTATTTTCGTGTCTGCGGGGATATTCATATTTTTCCCCACAACACAGCATTCATCAATGTATACACTTTCGTTAATAATATTATTCTCACTGATGAAGGAGCTGATAATTGTTACGTTGTCTTTTACGACAGAATTTTTTCCTATGATGCTGTTCACAATTTTTACATTTTTTCCGATTTTGCAATTTTTACAAATGACGGAATTTTCAATAAATGTCTGTTCTGAAATTTCCGTATAGTTTTCCACCAAGACAATTTTTAGCAATTTACAAGATTCATCAATGATTGCATTTTTGGCTTTATACAATCCCGGTTCACAAAAAATAAATTTTGGTAGGTCAGGCAAAAGGTGTGAAGAGTTAGCTAAAAAGGGGTGCACATTTCTTTCAATTAATGTTTTAAAAAATTTAAAATATATTCGAAAATCTGTCAAGGTTGTAATTATCTGGTTACATTCTGTGTAGTTATAATCGTTGTTTAAAGCATGCACGTAAATTTCCTCTATTTTAATTTCCTGCTTCAGGATATTGTAAATAAAATCCTTTTTCATGCACTGGTAATCAAAATTCTCTTCGAACAATTTGAAAACTTGTGGAGTGATAATAAAAATGTTTGGCATCACGAGATCATACGAGATGATTATCGAGTTGGTGGAGGTATTAAAATTGATGCTTGGTGTATGATATTCTTTATTTTCTCCTACTTTGCATATAGAAGACCTTTGGTCCTTCCTGCCCCCATGACTCATACCCATGGCATTTGCCCCGCTTCCGCCCTTCTTACTATCCTTAGGCTTTACATCATCAAATATTTCGCTAGTCAAAATTAAATAATTTTTATTTTTTAAGCGCTCATATAGGAGAAGCTTGAAGGAAAAATTATCGTACGCAATGACAAAATCGTCATTATGGGATTTATTTTCTTCAATACAGTGAGACAGGATAAGAGTCATAATTTGATTTTTACATTTTTCCTTGTTTACAAAATGAGCTTTAATAATTTCTTTTATATTTGCAATTGGAATTGTATCAGAAAGCAGTAATAATATGTCTTGATAAACCTCCACACATTTTTTAAAGTCCCGCAATGCGTCACCTAACGTTTTTACCTTTTTGCTTAATTTAATTATTTCAATGTCTAAATCGTTGTACCTTTTTGTGCTCTTTTGAAACTTTTCAATGTAATGCTGCAACTCCTTCTCGTGGTGCGTTACCACTATGTAAATTTTTTTAATATTATTTTGTTTAAAGAAATGTAATTGATAATCAATTAGGCACGCTCCGTTTAGCGGAACAAAAAATCTCAGACTTTCTGTAGTAATTGGTTCGTATATTTCATCAAAATTGTTTTCGATTAGCAACCCCACCAGATTCTTCTTTTCCTCGTCGTAGAGGAGGTTGAAATCTACTTCCTTCTTCATGTTTCTTGGCGTCCTCAGGATTTGCACGGTGGGGCGTGCGTGGGTTTCTGATATGTGTGCCCCTTCCCGCGCCTCTTCCTTTGGATGCCTGCTCTGTGTTCCACGCTTCGTTATCTGATTCGTCAATATTTGGTCTGCTTCTACGAGATTTTCGCGCTTTTCGCCCTACTTGAGCAAATTTCCCACCTTCCCCTGCTCCCCCCCACTGCCGCGTAATAATCACTGTGGTCGTCGAAGGACCCTACGTGGATCTGCTACACGCGCAACGCCTGCAGTTCCTACGCTCGACAAGTACCTTTTGCTTTGGCTGATTGGCTAACAAAAATTCCCCAGGCATAATATTGCAGAAAATATTCACTTGGCCGTGAACGAGTTCCTCTTTATTTTTTTTAATTGACATTTGTACACAGGTTGACAAAGGGGAAGCTCTTTACTTTTCGCAAAAGTGGCTCTGTTGTTTAGAAGAGAAAAATGGGAATAAGCATTCAAGTATATTTGCTGTGGGTGTTCTTATAACTTGCCCGTGCTTTGTTCAAATGAACGCAAAACAAAAAAAAAAAAAATGTATTTCTTCATATATGTACTTATTCATGTATTTAAAAAGTATAGTGGACGGAATATTTCGCAAAAAAAAAAACAAAAAAAAAGAGAGGCTTTTTTCGTTTTCTCAAAAATGGAAACAACTTTTTATGGCGCGAGAAAAACAAAAAAATCCTTAGTGCATCTCACAGGAACAGTTAAATTGTGCCCTTAAAAAAACGGGCCTTATATTTCAGCTTCCGAGCGATGCGACAAACATGCTCTTAGTCGTTATCACCATTTGTTAAAAAAAAAAAAAAAAATTAAAACAAAAAGTAAAATGAATACAAACACGTGAAAGGTTAAAAACAAATTAGGTAAACCTTTACTTAAAATGGCATGTTGGCTAAGGCAGCCGAATTTTCAGCAGTCTCTCCCTCGCATGTATATAAAAATCGTGAAGGTGTAACTTCATCAGTCTACAAGCACATGTACACGTACTAGCCTGCTTGCCTTGCGCATATTAATCAAAATAAAAGCAAAAACAACGCCAACGTGGGCATAATTCATATTGTAAAGGCCACCCGGGTGTTACTCTTTAACCCATAATGTTTCGTCTTTGCTACTGGTTATATTTGCACAAGTGCAGCAATAAATATTCCCGTGGGGGTAATATGTTGCGGAAGGAAAATATAGGTTCAATAAACGAACATATGAGAGTAAGCTTAATTATGAGAAGAGTCTTTTAATTTGATACGCATAAATGGATGCACGAAAAAGACGGGCAGTTCATAATTTGGGGGAAAATTAAAAAAAAAAAAAAATTTTAGTTACACAGTTTGAAAGAATTGACAAAGGTTCAAAAAGGAAGGGAAACAAAAATAAAAAATTATTTGCCACATATACATTTGCGGTCCACAAAAGTATTGGGACGTTTAAACATAACGCTATGTGTAACTCCCTTTTGTAAAATATACAGTGAGGGGAGAACTTTAAAATAGCTGCCATTATCCTTTTGAGCAAAACGGATAAGTGACAGGGTCAATCAAGGAGGAAAAAACGGAATGGCAACAACGCAGATTAAACGCACAGTTGCAGAAAAAGCGGCGAACCAAAGTAACATTATGCCCATTTGCAAAAAGGGGTCACTGTTTTATGCCGTTGGCGGGCTTAGCAGTGGCATGTATTTTACGCTGCGGGTAAAACTTCACCAAATTGTAAACACCTCCCACCCCCTCTGTGCAATTTTAGAATTAGTCACTCTTTTCGCTTTGCATATTTTGAAACCAAAGTGGGTCTCTGATCCACGTTGGCTTGTTTAAGATGTACGGAGTCTTTTTCATGGCGGGAGTGTCTTCCCGTATGTGTTTGTACAGATCGTTTCGGCAATGCTCCAGTTTCAAATGCAGCTTTTGACATATGCCCAGCTGTTCAATTTCTTCCCTAAATAGGACAAAAAAAAATATACGATTATATGTTTTGTGCAACAATGTGTACTAGCCAAGATGGCTCATTTCTAATACTCGCATAGCGATGGCCAAATGTACATGACAGCAATGACCCTTTCGCTTTTTTTTTTTTTTTTTCCGATTCATGCATGCTTACTCGTTCAAGTACGCGCACTCGTAGCGATATTGCTTGGCGGAGTTGTAACAACTCCAGTCGTTGTTTTCGCTGTTGGAATCTATGATTTTGTTTGTATAAAAGTCAGCCGCTCTTTTGTTAGCCATGTGTCTTCTAGTGGTTATCCCCATGAGCAAAATGATGTTGAAGAAGAAGCACCCGTACACTACTTTTGCCGTCCTCCCTAGTTCATTCCACCCCGTTCTTAGCTGCTGAAATTTGAACATTTTGTTTAATCGTCCTTCTTCCTATTATACTAATCATACTAACTATACACTATTCCAAAAGCCTCCACAGTTGTAACAAAAAGGGGCCGTTAATTTTAGGATAACTCTTACGGCGTTGTGTTCCTTTTAACTGTTTGTCTGGCTCAGCCTATTTCGCCGTTAAGCCTGTATGCACATTGGGAGATACGTACGCATTCACTTTGTATGAATACAAGTGCGCCCGCATGATTGCCAACCACTACTTTTTTGTACACCTCTGCGGAGGCTCTCAATTTGATCCACAGCAGGTACCTCAAAATGCGCAATCGCGTAAACGATCGCGTAAATTCTCATGGCATGAACATTTCAACTCGGAGTTACAAAATTGTACATGTATGTTGATCCTCTTTAGTTAACAAACGTGTTGGTTATTTTAAAAAAAAGTGTTCAGATGTACTTGTAGTTATTTTTTCTTTCGCAAATATGTGAAGCGTTTTTACAACGCAAAAGGACAAACTCGAGTGAAATTTTATCATAATTTTTTTTTTTTTTTTTTTTTTTTTTTTTTTTTTTTATACGCCCCGCTCCCGAGTATTGTGCAAAGTAGTTCATTAACCAAAGGACATTTGTTCACCAAAGTATACATAATTTTTATTTTAAACATTTTAAACCTAATTTTTTGTTTTTTGTTTTTTTTTTTTTTAGGCGCATTATTAGATCATGCTGAATTATATATTTGTACGAATATGTGCAATATGTACGTAGGTGTAAAATGGTACATATGCCCGCGCTTGCCCCTTTTTAAGTAACATTTGTGATTAGTCCATCCTCTGCCATGCATGAACAGTTGTGAACACACGCCTTATGTCCGCACACACGTGTGTATAATTAGCCCGTTCGCTCCCCAGTCGGCCGCGCCATTTGATACTGTTTTACCTACGTGTATTGCCAACGTAAGGGGGACGAATGGGCCATTTGTTCACAAAAAGGACTGCATATGGGGGTGTGAGTGTATGTACTCGTCCACGTGGCGCTGTCACATATCGAAGTTAATTGTCCACTCGTAGGAGTCACCCGTTGAAGCTTGTGCCACGCATCGGCGTATGCCCCTTTCATTCCTTCTTTTATGTTTGTTTTCATTCCGCTCCCCCATTTGTTTTAACATTTCTGTGTATCGTTTTGTGACGCATATATGGGTGTCCAAGCGTGTGCATGAGAACAACCGCACGCGCAGGTAGCTCTGTGTGCACATATCACCCAATTACGTAGCAACTAGCGTATGTAGCAGCCCGCGCATGTAACAACCCGCGCGCGTGCTGGTCGAGCGAGGAGAAATCCAGACCCATCTGTCACTCCCTCACCCACTTCCAGAGAATACACCAATTGGACAAGAGCAGACAGAATGAAGAATAAGGTGAAATACAACCTCTTTGGTAACTTCCTATCCAATCATGTGTTATTATTCTTCCTGCTTTTTCTATTAAACCTGTTAATATTCTTCTCGTTCATCAATGGCTTCCTATTCCCGAGAGAAGGAATCACAAACAAGTCGGAGGATTTGGAAACCTTTACCAGGAAGGTGTTTGGGGATGAATACATAGAAACATTGAAGAGTAAAAAAAATGTGCACTCCATTATGAATCCGCCGTACGACAGAATAGTGATCCTAATGATTGATGCACTGAGGTTTGATTTTACACTATACGATCCTAATTATAATAAAGAGCTAGAAAATGATGAATCGCTAGTTGCAGAAAAGAACACTTCAAAGGAGGTGAAATTTTTCCAAAACAACATGACACTTTTACATGACATTTTGAAGACAGAGAAAGAGCAAACCATGTTATTTCGATTTCAAGCTGATGCACCTACGATTACCACATCGAGACTAAAATCTATGGTTATTGGCTCCATACCAAATTACTTAGATTTGAATGAAAATTTTAGTCCAAGTGATGATATACAAGATAATTTCATAGAGCAACTCTACTATAATAAAAAAACGGTCGCAGCTATCGGGGATGACACACTTGTGAAGTTAACAAAAAATGTATCGCGCAAATTAGTGTACGAAAGTTTTAACATCTTCGATTTGTATGATCTAGACAATAAATCTAAGAAGCATTTTTATGAAGAATATCCTTTGGATTATTGGGACATTTTGTATGTACACGTTTTGGGGGTAGATCACGTAGGGCATGTAGGGAAACCTAATTCGAGGAAAATGAAAAATGTGTTAAAAGATTTCGATATTTTTGTAAACGATATAATACAGAAGGTTAAATTGGATGAGAAGAAGAATAACACCCTTTTTGTTCTTCTTGGGGATCATGGACAAACACGCACAGGGGATCATAGTGGGTTCAGTGCAGATGAGACGGATACCTCTTTGTTTATTTATTCCCCATTGAAATTTATGCCACTAGATAAGAAAATAAATAACAAGTCATTTATTCTATACGATAAGGACAAGCTGGGGAAAAACAACTCCGATTCGCCTACTGCATTTAGTGCCTGCGTCCCAGAGGAAGACCAGTGTTTTGTAGAAAGCTATAAAAATTACCATTCCGCTTTGAACGATTCCAACAAAGACAAAACCTACTTCTACGATGTTAGACACACCAGACAAATAAACTTGGTGAGTACGCTATCGCTTCTGATTGGATCTACTATCCCCTTTTGCAACGTGGGAAATGTTATCATGGATTTGATCCCGAACGCGTACAAGGGCGGTGCAGCATATGCAGCTTCTAATAATGGAGAGGAAGGAAACGACAGTGGTAGCAACCCTCCCAGTGAGGACACCACGGGTGGTGCGAACGCCACGGGGGATGGTAAACATTCCAACTTATACTACGAGGTGCTCAATTTGCACTACATGGCAGAATTGAACTATGCCAACATGTGGCAGATAAATAGGTACCTACAGGAATACGAAGCCCACTATTGGGTCATAAAAAATGAAGATTATTTTTTTATTAAAAATAATTGGAAATATATAGAAGAAGAAATGGTGCGATTTTTTCAACCAAATAAAAAATTCCAAGATATAGAAGAAATTCTAAAAAGTGAAAAAGAAGAATATATAAAATATATAAACAAAATGAGAAATCTCATGGAAGTTACCCAGAAATATTTTTACTTCATTTTTGCAGCCAAAAAGCCATCCTTTATTGTCCTCTGTCTAATTGTGAATATACTCTTTTTGATCATATTTAACATATTTTACCTTAACTCAAAATTGAATTTCTACTACAAGCCCATTTCAGCTGGCACTTTCATTCTGCTCCTCACTCTTGTTTTTATTGCCCTTGTTCCAGTCGACTTGTATAATAAATGCCTCTACCTACTTGTGTTGCCATTACTATTCATACTTTTAGTCTTTGGGGTTTTCTTCTCTAAAAATAAGTACAAGGATTTTTTCCGATTTTTTAGCTATATTAACGTATCCCTAGTATGCAGCAACCTCCCAGAGGCAAACTTGAAGAAATACACAGCTATACAAGCGCAAGATAAAAACTTTATTCATCAGGACAAAAGTGGGTGTGTGAATGCAGGGGGTCCTTCCAAGAACACCTTTCTTCTAAAAATATTCTTTTTTTTTAAATGCCTTTTTATGATAATCAAGAGAAGTATCGCGCGAAGCATAAATGTAGTGTTGCCACATATATTTAACATTATTGCGTATATTTTCACTTTAAAAAAGAAGCTACTTACATGTCTAATGAATAATACCTACTTCGTTTGTGTGGTCATTTGGAGCTCGTGTGAATTGTCCTTCTACTACATATTCCATGAGAAGCACTATATCCACTTGGTGTTAATTGCCTACGTGTTGCTTTCTCTGTACAAGTGCGAGTCATTTTTCTCTCTGCACCTTTTACGGTAAGCAGGAACGGTATATGTGTGTATAACCTCCCACGTCCAAAACACATGGACGTAATGTGTACGCCCCTCATATGTCTACCTGTCCCCCCCCCCCCTTTTTCGCAGCGGACTGGTCCTCTTGACCGTCCTAGTCGTAAACGCGGCGTTCAGTTTCACGCCAGGATATTTCGAGCATGACATGGAAAAGCTGTACCTGAAGAAATCCGTGCTGCAAATGGCATTGCCCATTTCGCTATACCTTTTTAGTAACATCTTTGTAAATTGTGGTTCCAACAAGTTCCTGAAAAAGGAAATAAAAGTAGTCATGTTTTTAGGATGGACCGTGCAGTTCGTTTTAGTATTTTTATATTTCCTTAAAATCAACGAGCAAATGATATTTTGGAACCCCCCAGGTGTTTACTTAACCACATTTTTGTTATACCTGTTCATCATATTCAGAAAAAGCAGCATAATACAAGAGGAAAAAGTACCAGAGTTGTTGCAGAAGATACACGAAGTTTCTGTAACTCTGTTCCTGATAATGTTTTCTTCCCTCCAGTTATCACTCATCGCGTATAGCAACACAAACCTGAGTGTCTTGCTATTCTTTTATACAACATTATTTGTTTTTTACTTTTTTTTTGTGAGTATGAATAATTTGGAAGGAAATAAAGATATGAATAACCTTAAAATAAAATGGATTGAAGAAAACAAACAGGTACATATGTTTACAAATTCGGAGGACCAGAAAAAAACGGTTGAAATAGGTCAGGTGAATACATGGGTGAAGGAAAAATTTGATCTCAAACTTGTGCATCAGAAATGTACCTTGTTAGATAAGTGCTCCTGGCTTGATGAAACAGATGCCACACAAATTCAAATTTGCAAATTAGTAAAGGACATTCCATTTTTCTCTCTCAGTGACACCGATTTTTATTTACTATCAGCTATACTTATAAAATACACCTTCTTTTTAACTGGCCAAATATTTGTCCTAAATAGCTTGCCCCTGACTTCAGCATACATCGGTTTTAATAAATATGTTTGGCCTATAAGTCAGCTTTATATATTTATTCACGTTTTTTTTCCAATGTTATTTGCTCTTTTTTTCATTCTTTATGTGTTTAATTTGAGGAAGATAAAAATGCTGACGTATTTTAAGGGGGTCGACGTTTACAATTTCTACTTCTACCCACTGATTAACTTTTTCTTCAAGTAAGTAGCAGAGCTATGCAACAAAAAGGCTGGGGGCGGGGGGGAGTATTGCCCCGCCCCTGTGCCCGTAGGTCAGGGTAGCAGTGAAATTTGCTTCTGTTGTGGCCCTCCTTACTACTTTATTTCATTATTTTTATTTTTCCATTTTTTCCCCGCTTCTTTAGGATCATTTTTTTATTCTGCTGCAAGTATCTCACGGCCATGTGGGTGGCCTTTTACCTGGAACTCCACTTGATGGTAAGCACTGCGCGCTGGGAGAATTGCGCAAATGGGAGAGAAAATGCGTCCACATCGTTAAGAGGAGAGAACAAGGACGCCCAAGTGTATGTACCAGCATACACACGCACGCACACATTTTTGCGTGTACCCCTCCCCCCCCCCCCTTCGTTTGTATATTCCCTTTTCAGCTCTACGACTACTTCATGCCAAATTTCTTTTTCCTGATTTCAATCAATTTTGTGTTCATCGTTTTTTGCATTTTAATGCTATCCCTGACGAAGTACATATTTTTAAGATAATTATTTTTTGTGTTTGGTTGGATAAAATATTTTTCTCATGGTGTCTTCCCGTTGGAGTGGTGCCCAGTCCCTGTCCTGTTTCAAAAGTGAGGGGTAGAAAATGGAGCACAAAAATGTCGTAAAAAAAAAAAAAAAGCGACGAACGCAGTTACTGGTGTGAATGATTGATCCCCCTTTTGAGGTTACAAAGTCGGTGCCCCTTTTTTCATTTCCGTTTTGTCACAAGGGCACCTCCACATGTAATCCGTGAGTGTAAGGATGGAAGTACCACCCACTTGTGAAGGACCAAAAGAACACTTTTTATTTTTTATTCTTTATTTTTGACATGACGTGCACATTTCTCCAAGTTGTTTGGTAATTTTTTTTTTTTTTTTTTTTTTTTTCTGCGACAATTTTCTTTTTAGTCACAAATTCGCACGTATGTTGCGGGCACAGTATGCCACTTAATAGTACATCTTCGCATTTTTTTTAAGCAGAAGATTTTCCATTGTTCCGAGTATACATACGTACATATATGTATATATATATATATATATATGTGGTGTGTATATATACATGTGCGCATGCGCCTGTGAAAAACCTCGTTCATGTTAATGTCACTTTTTAATTTTTCCGATTAGCTTCAGCGAGCGAGTCATTTCTTCCGTGGATTACCTTCCACCAAGAGTGTCCATACGAAATGAAAATTTCTTCGTTCTTTTGGATATCCCTTTGTGCGCGAAATATCATTATTTGGTCAGACGTTATTGTCTCCTGCGGGGTGGGGTTACAAAATAGGTACATGTCACGACGGATGGTATGGCACAACAGCATGGCATGTAAAAAAGGCAAATAAAACGACATGGAGTATCTACAATGTAGTGTGTGGACGGCTGATGGTTGGAGGGATACCCACTCGCCGTTACAACACACACACAGGTTTGAAAAAAAAAGCAAATTTTTTTGGACATTTTTCTCGTCCTGGTCAGGTTGGTCAGACTTTTTCTCCTGTTCTTCCCTCAGAGACACTATATGAACAAAGGCATTGGGGGGATCTGAATGATTATATAAAATTCCATATCCCAGGGGGAAAAGCTTATAATTGATAGCGTCTCTCCTTTTTGTGACAATTCGAACTACTTGTGTGTTAATGTTTTCTTTTTTGCTTTCGAATAAATAATCAACCAACTTTTCTGGGATCTCTTCATTTTTCATTTTGAGTGTCGGGCATATTTCAATGATTTCATTTTTTTTTATTTCATCAAATGAAAAAATACCAACTCCGTTAAGAGGAGAACTTCCAACGTATACTCTTTTGTGAATCTCTTTAAAATTGAGTTGTTCATTTTTAAAAATTTGTCTTAGCGTATCTTTTGCAAAGTAGTTGTGAAACCTTCTTCTGGTCATGGCGAATTCAGCCATTTTTGCAGCCGGGGGATGCCTTATATATGTCATAATTAATCAATTGGGTGGAGTGGAGAGCACAACTCGCGGAGTAAACGCCGGAACGAATGGACGAGAAAATGTTACCACACGACATGGTTAACGAAATTAAGCGGCCCACATGACGTTGGAAGGGGGTTGTGTACTTGGCCAGTTCTCCTCCATGGAATACATTGTCCTCATTATAAGTAACCTACTTGTCGTCTTAAATTAGAAAGGGGCGAGAGCGTGTTTTTCCAACCGTCGGTTAGGGCATGTGCAGTACAGAATACATTTGTATGTCCCATTCCAGAGGTCAGTTTTAACATTCCTGTTATTTACTCCCTCCTCTTAAATGACAAACTTTTTTTTCTACTTTGTGGCAAAAATGTATGAAACTTTTTGCGCATCGCGACGTAGTGGTAGAGACTTGCGGGTGAACAGTTATTCAGCGATTGAAGAACAAAAATCTATGCGTTAAAACGTGAGCAAAAGTGCGCACAAAAATGTATGTATATGTAAAAATGCACATATTGGTCACCCATGTTTTAGCGCAAACCTGGTGAATCCTAACTTGGGGATTCCCAATCAGGAAGGGTGCGTCGCTTTTTTTAAGCAGTTGTTCAACCTCTGCTTTATGTGGGTCCGAAGCGACCTTATCACATCACAAATTTTAAAATACCATGTGAACAAAAAGTTGTGGGGCACGGTATGCCAAAAGGCAAGGCACACACAAGTTTGCAGCTCCACGTAAAAAAAAAAAAAGTGAATGTTTTTTTTTTTTCACCTATGTACGGCACACGGAATGCGGTACGGGAAAAGGTGGACTAAATGTCATACGAACGGGCATCGCCAAGGACACATGTACGTTGACCATCTGGGTGAGACTGGACTCTAATTGTTGTGGAATTACATCCCGACCAAACAACGGAAATTTCTTTCTTTGCTTCTTTTTATAATAACAAAAATTGTTATATATAAGTGACAGAGCACATAAGGCGAAGAAACTATGAAAGAGGTCCGTCTCTTGATGTGATAAATTTTTCTCTTCATAAAAATTAAAGAGGTTATTTCTATCCTCATTGTTTTTAAATGCCGTTCTTGAAAAACCTCCCTTCTGTTTATCTTGGCATGTCAATATGAAAGTAATTAAAATATTTACATTGAACAATTTAGTTAAATTTGTTCTCAGGGCAACTAAACTTCCTAAAACCCACCACGCGTAACACACATCGTGGTCCTTTCCAACACGTCCGTTAATGCCCATGTTCTCATACCTATCGCAGAGCCATCTGAAGGGGGGGGAGGGGGTATGTATACAAATATATAGGTGACCCTGCATGGGTGTGTATGGGTATATGTAGCTGTGCGTACCAAGTGGTGCATATCTCTCATTATGAATGTGTACATGGTATAGGCGCTTCGCTCCCATCAGGCGTTGCCCATCTTTGTTATTCGCACAAGTGTATTAGCAGCTGGCAGGTTTGCTTTTGTACCTAATTAGTTTCCCCCGTAAAAGGCCATTATGTGATAAGTAGTTTTCAGTTCCTCTGACCCTCAACATGTTTAAAGAATTGATGGCACAAAAAGTTGTGCCTGCATGTGACTCTGCCCCTGGGATATTCGAAAAACCTCCATCCAAGTTGAAACAGGTTAATATCCAGTGGGCACATTTCTCGTCATTGTTATACAAACGGATAGGAACATTTCTCTTCTTCAACAGGAGTGATACAAAATGTAAAACTGATAAGGCACAGAACATGAAACGCGTATCGCCATCGAATTGAAACCTAACACTACTCAGTGAGAAGTGGTAAAAACCTTTCTTCTCATCAAAAAGAAAGTAAACAAAATTGTACATCTCCAGGATCATTTTCGTGCTTATATCTTCTTCACTTATTTTGTTCAATAAAAATAATACTTGGATGGCGCTTAGGGTTGATATTACATTCGCCTCGTACAAAGCGCTTTTCTTGCATGGACTGAATCCACATAGATGGAATGTCCTTTTTTTCCTTTTGCCCACACTTGTCGTTTTCACCATTCTGTTAGATTCTTCCCCTTCCAATCCATTTGCACATTTGGGGGTACCTATCCGTTTGGCATTCCTTTCTTCCACTAAAACTGCCTTTTCGTCGCACGTCCTTTTATGTTCTCCCCCGTCGGCACCTACACATTTTAAGCATCCTAAGCCGTCATATGGTTTCTCTTCATTTTTGAAGTTATCATTTTCTATTGGGGGTAAGTTTCCTCCAATGGGGCTATGACCACTCGGGATATTTTTACACTGGGATGATAATCCAGTGTCTTCTCCTCTGGAACACCCTACAGCGTACAAACGGTTAGACCCACTTTTAGATGCACTAACTATTTGTTCAATATCCTCATTTGATAAAAAGTACTTTTCCTTTTTTAACTTGTAAATGTATTTTTGCTTAATTTTTCTTTTCTCCAAACACTGCATTACTATGGAGTAGAGGGCGTCTATTACCTTCCTGTCAAGCACCTCATCAAGGCTCTTTCTCTTCTTCCTTATTATTGTGAGCCCGCTTAGAAGCCAAAAAATGCCACTGATAAAAATGGATTCATACTTACTAGATACGCTGGTGTTAGTAGAGTTGTTTCCTAATTTTTCTTTTATCGTATTTAGGAAGTATTTCTCATGTAGGTTCAAGTCCAAGTTCATACTTCTGATGGCGTGCATGGGGAGAAGCATGGGGTAGGATGCACCAACCTTACAAGCAATAGCAATGCAGCTGTAGAAAGCACGGTCCAACTATAACTCTATTTCTTCACAACGTTGGCACGTCAATGGTATGGTGGGGCGGTTTCAAAAAAAAATAACGCCTTTAAAAAATGTATATTAGGTCGTAAGATAAGGTCCAGAATAAAATGAAGGACTAAAGGAGGGGGAAGAATATATACACACGTGAGAGATTGTATAAGCATGAAGCGGGGAATAACGGTTGTTTACATTGCTGTATAAATGTACGCTCAAATGAGTTAATTCTACATGAAATATCATGACGGACTGCACACGCAGAGGGTACACTCCCATTTTAGCCTTACTATCAATCCACTGAAAAAGTCACGGCAGAAAACGTCAGAAGGTTTTTTAAAAAAAGACTTAAAGTCTGTTCTGATATGAGAGTAGGTCATTAATGTCCCTATTAGGGTGAATATGGAAAAGAACAAAAAACCATACGTGCCTTGGATCCCTAAAATTCCAACTGTAATTCCTCCAATTATTCCATAAAACTGTTTACTCAAAATAAGTGAATTCTTGTTGTGCTTAATTTTTCCCTCATTATACTGATTATCCTTGAATAATTTTGCGTCTAAGGTGTTCTTTTGTATTGCTACATTTTGCTTTGACGGGGTTGGGTTCGCTTCCATTATTGACTTGGAACGGGTCAGATATGGGGGTGGGGTAGCTGATGATGAACAATTTTTCAACAAGTGATGAGCTATCCTATAGCTGTGAGACGCGCCTCACCTACGCCAAGTCTGCACGAACCGTGCTTACTTATGCAAAGCACAAAAGTAAACCCCTCCCCTGGGTGACTCCTAAACTAAACGCTCTTTAACAACAGAGCGAAAATTACACCAAAAGGGGGAAAAAGAATATATATGCTTATTTCGCAAAAGTTGAAAAAAGAATATTATGGCCTCATAAAACTGGCATACTTTAAACACGTGTATAAATATAATGTCATCACGCGTTCTCACTTTAGTAAAACACTTTTTCTATGTATAAATCATCAGTTTGGAAAAAATTGCTTGTTCTTCGTGAAACATATTTTTTTTTTTTTTGTGACGCAGCGTAAAAAAGGCGAAAAGAATAATTAGGTAGTTGTGCAAAAACTGCATTCCGCGTTGCCAAAGTGGTCGAAAAAAAAAAAAAAAAAAATAGAGTATTCGCCCCTGGAAAAAAAGAAAAAACAGTTTCCAAAATGCATGCATTTGTGTATACCTTACAATTTTAAATTGACTTGCAAAATGGGGAGTAATCATACCTTTTTTAAACGAGTAAGTAGCACCTCATGAATATTTCGGGACTCTTCCTACTTTTTCTTCCTTTTTTTCCCATCCCTCCCCCCTCCATAATTTCACGTAAGCCATGTTGCAGACCGGGCACCACCAAGTTCTCACAATTTGTAAAAAAGAGGAAAAACACATAGACCTAATGATTTCTTCCTAAAAATTTTTCAAACCTTATTGGGCCAAAAACTTATTGTTCCTTTTTGATGTCACTTTCGTAAAGCAAAGAACAAAAAGAAAAGAAAAATACACAATGCTATGTTATATGGCCCCCCTATTTCAGCTTAACTATGGCGTAATTACAACACTTCTGCAGGACAATGGTTGATGGTACAAAAAAAAAAGGCACAAATTAAAATACGCGGCATGCTTTTATTTTATTTTTTTTTTCTTCCCATTCAGGGGTGTAGATACACCCATTTAATCATTTCGTTTAGACGCTTGATGTGTACCACTACAATGATGAGAGCTGGCACTTTCTATTTACCCATTTTGGGAAAGACTCAATGCGCATGTGTAAAAAGTGTATGTAACTTATCTCGGTGTGGATTGTCAAATTTGAACAGATGAAAACCTCCTCTCTCTGTTGTCGCTGATATTACCAGTTGACTTATCTTCAGTTCCCTTCCCTCCATTTTTTTTGTTAACCCTATGTTGGCACCTCCATTCTTGACTTAATTTTCACCGTTTTGTTATCATCTCGCACTTTTTTTCCACCTATCGCAAAATTGTGTCTCCCCATAAGCGCACTACATTTATGTGTGTAAGTGTATGTCCGTTTATGTAACCACCTGTAGTACATGTGCTGACCCGATCCACCTTCTTCGAAACAAAGAGTGCATTCCAATCACCCCGCCCTCACGTGTTCATGTCAAAATGAATAGAATACTCCCCGTGTATGTGATAGCCATTTCGTGCCTCCTGTCAAACATAAAATGTTTCGCGACGGGTGTCTACGACGGAAGTGGCCGTCATAATTGTTCCAGCGTCTTTTGTTCATACGATAAATTATCAAATATTTATAACAATTCTAAGTTTATCTTGACGGAGCTGGAAAACATTTTGTACGATGTGAGGGATGAGAAGAATGCTTATCAGTCAGGTTGGACTTATTACAAAAATGTGTTCCTCCGAAGAGGGTCACTCCTCGAGAGGTGCAGCCCTAAGTAATCGCATCTGCATATATAACAAAAACCCACATAATCATACGTTTATTCTTCCACACACATAATCACCTCTCCGTTCCGCCGCTTCTACAGAACACGAGCGTGACAAATCACTAAATCTCGAAATAAAATTCCCTAATCCTAACGATCATGAAAATTTGTCATACTTATATCCGGACGAGGAGTATGAAAATGAAAGCAGTTTTGGTGAGCCCGTTCCGTATATCATCATTAGCAGGATGGACGATGGTTATAATTCATTTTAATTTTCCTAAATCATTGCGTCTTCTTAGCTATTCCATCTATGCCATAAGCGTAGGACGATTACACCGTGACACTCCAATCGAATGGAAGAAAGAACCGCCCATCCTTCATGTCACTCTACCCCACTTTTATTTATGAACACGTGCAGACGACTTCGAGCAGAACATACTAGTAAAGAAAAATATGTCCCACAACAATTGCCAAGCGTAGTGGAAGACCACTACAATATATGTGTGGAACAAATCATTCTTTTATTCCTTAATGTGGTTTAATCAAAAGCTAGGTTGCGTGTTTTTCCTTTCTTAAACAAAATATTTCCACGCAATGTTTGATACTGCCCCATTCAGAGTAAGACCCCGGAGCGCCTAAACGACTGGGAAAATAGGGAACTGACCAACGAAGAACAGGTGGACATGGCCTTCTCAAGAATACGTGACGTACGTGATGAGGGTTGCGCATACACAGGCCCTTTTTTGTCCTGCGTGTACATTATATAATCTGTACATTTGTTCATGGACATATGGCGACTTCCCCCTTTTGTGCATGACCAGCTTGAAGAACAACAGAAGCGCTTTTCAGAGGAGAAGAGGTTAGGCCAGGATACGAAAAAGAGCCAAAAGCGCAAATATAATATTGTTACACTCTCTACATATGCGCAACACCGTTGTGCCAGCACAATTTAAAATACACACACCTTTTTCATGTCCAAATGTTATCATTGTACTGAAGGAAATTTAATTTGAAGAAGTACCTACGATGAAGTTGCCATGCCATGCACGCAAAATGAGGAAACTAAAAAGGAGTCCCCGAGGTGATGCATAACTCAGCCATATTCTGTATATTTTTAAACAATGCAGATACGTTTGTTGAGTATTTTTTTTTTTTTTGTTTGTCTTGTTTATTTTGTGTTTTTACACATGAATGGCAAAATGAAGGTTAAACGGCGAAGGATTCACAAAAAAAAAAAAAAAAAAAAAATTGTTTACACACGCATATGTGTATCCATGTGGACATACGAATGCACATCTCCACAGTCGCGTGTGCTGCCTTTACAAATGAGTCTAACAAAAAACGAATGAGATAATTATTTTTTAAAACATTAAAAAAAAGAAGAAATTAATGCGGCGTGGGGACATAACCGTCTACGTAAAAATTTCTCGTCATGGGGGGCAATTTTATTTTCATTCCGTCTAGCTCCTTTGTGAGCTTCACCTGGCATCCTAGTCTGGAACTGCAAAGGGGAAAAGAGTTCTCAACGTGTCACAGTGTAAACACCAGCTGGGTTAAGCATGGGGGCATCGCCTCAGCCAGGCAAAACGGGGTATTACAAAATGGAGTATTATACAACGGGTGGCAAATGAACGGGCCTACGCCGGCACACGCTCCGTCCTCCTTACGTTTCAGTTATGCAGGGAGCCAGCTCTAGCATGTCAATTTCGTTGTCAAGTGCTTCCGGTAAAAGCTTGTAATATTTTTCGTCAATGATCACGTGGCAAGTGGAACACGCGCAGAAACCGTCACACGCCCCTACCAAAAAAAAAAAAAAAAAAAAAAAAAAAAAAGGGGAGCAAATGGGGATGTGAAAACACCAACTCGAATTAATGTGCACAGGATATGTATCTCCATTAACTAATCACCAAGTGATAAAACCAACAAGTGGGGCTTTCCCCTGCTGGGTTTTACCTTCTATGTTTATGCTATTCTCATGGGCAACTTGTAATATGCTGTCTCCTACTTTTGCTTTAACGGTTTTTTCATAATTGTCCTGATTTACAAATGTCACGTCGCTTGGAAGGGGAAAAAAAAACAGAGTTAACGGTTAGTTAAAGGGGGCTCCTATGTAATACAAAATTGCATAGTGGTGTTCGCGCGGAGTATTCAGGCTTATGTGTGTTCGCCCAATGTATGTGCGTGCGTAAAGGCGATCACCTCACGGATGGAAGACTTACATTTCTTCCTGATCCTGGGTGGTGAACGATCTTATATAATTAAAATAAATGCACTTATTTTTTATCTTGTTCAATGGAGCCCTTTTGAATATATCGTTTCTACTGAGAAATCTACACCCTGCGAATGGATCAGGACACATATGCGTTGCGTTCATATTGTAACATACATGTGTGTAGAAGCGCTTATATACATATGTCCAATCGGGCAAAGGGAAATTTCATCTGTACACATAAATGTGAACAGGTTTGTCTTTCGCTCTTTTTTGTTTGTTTTTTTTCCTGCCCCTTACTTGTAATCATTTTCCCCTCCCTCCGTCATTTAATTTGTGAAAGCTGTTCACAAGATTTGTACATATGTATAATCGAACACGTTTTGTTGACCCCTTTTAGGCTGTACAGGCGGTGCATGTGGTGCATGTGATGGATGTGCTTAGGGTTCATGCGGCGCAATGTCCAGCCGGATTGCCAAAATGGTCCATACAAAATTGTGGCAAAATTGGGGGAGGAAGCATTAAAAGTTGCATCCAGTGATGCTTCAAATGGTACCGCACATGGAACTTCAAAGAATGATTAAAAAATTTGGCAGCAGCGTTTTATACACCAAAAGGTAACAAAATGTATCAATGGCATCGTCTCATCGGGAACAGTCCCACAGGATTAATTCGAAAAGGAGCAAAACAAAATAAATTCAGAAACCATTTTTATCCTTATGTGCTACAGTCAGGGGAAATAAAGTTAAAAAAAAAAAAAAAAAAAGAAGTAAAAACCAACCATATGTTGCGATATGCATGCTGCCCACTTCGAATGGGCCGTTGGTTTTTTTTTTTTTTTTCTCTCAACATTTGCAGGTGATACCATTTACGCTTATTCACCCTATGCAATTTTTTACAACATTTATAAGCTCGGGTTAAGGTAAACTTGTAAGCCAAAATTCGCCATAACAATTAACCACATATGACGTTTGTTTTTATGCTATTCGCATATTTGACTGCTCACTTTTGTGTATTTTTTTTTTTCACAGCGCATTAAAATGTGAACCTTTAATTCTGCTTCTGGCTCGATATAACAGTTCATTTCCTTTTTTTTTTTTTTTTATCCCTTACCTAAGCAAACAGTTTTTTGAAACAGGTTAAATGCACATTTGTGTAGGTTACATACCGTGTAGGTATATTCATAAACGCACACAGGTATCGAGCGGGACTTTTACGTCGGTCGTGTTATCCACGCTGTGAGATTCTCATAATTGCAGCACGACTTGTGTTGCGAAGAAGAAACAAAAGGAGGAGAACTACCAAATGAGAGGGCAGCGACGCTGGAACGGGGAAGCCAATAGATCATCATACTGTCTTAGCGGACGAGTTCCTTGTTGGTACATGATGTTTTAATATAAGAAGCCAAAAGGGAGTAACACGCAGCGGTGAAATTGTGAACATTAAAAATAAAACAGATAAATCGAATCCAGTCGATAAGACGGAAAACGTGGAAAACGCCAACTGAGTGTCAAAACGATACGCCCCACACGGAACGCCCTCCCCCCACACACAAACATGCAGAAGACAAAATATGATAGGCAAAATATTTGACAACGCATTTCGAATACGCACATTTAACCGGCTGGTGTGCTTCGTGATTGGGGGAGCCTTCTCCTACAGTTTTGCAAACCCTGACATGGATACCGTGTATGAATTTTTCCCCATTTTTAAGCAAAACAAATATGCATACTTGACATTTCTTGAAGTCAACGAAAATCATGGAAACGTATTTGAAGAAAAACTTAAGGACTTGTGCAGGTTTTATCAGAAACAGCCTGGTTATTTATATACAAAAATAATTAAGAGGAAAAATAATGTCAACAATTTGAACAGGTACATTGTTCTTTCAACTTGGTTAAAGAGTGAAAATTATCTCCTGGCGTGTAATAGGATGTACGGACAACTCTTGATCAAAAATATACAAGATTACACAAATTATAATTCCTTTTTGTACAGAATAGTTGTAGATGACTCGGACTACCTTCCTCCCTTTTGACGAGGGCTGGGAATTTTCCATTTACCCAGGTTGAAATGGTTTGTTTTCTTTTTCTTCGGCATTTTTTTTATACTCTACAAATGCACTGATACGAAGGTGCTCTGGAGAAAAATTCTTTTTTTAAATGGGAACTTTGTAGTCATGTCATAATGACTTATTATTTGTGTGTAAATTTTTACGAAATAACTTTTTGCGCTACATACATTTTTATAATTTTCTTTGTCTACTCTTTGTTCAATTTTGTTTAACCATTTTTTTAATTTCCGCATATGTGCGTGTTCATATGCGCGTAGGTACATACCCCCGTATATGCATTCATGGGCATACGCCTTCCGGGTCTGAGCAAAACATCGTAACTCCTATTTTTTTGGAACAACGGAAAGTGCCCAAACCTCCGTGACATGATACAAAACAGCTCGAAATTTTTTTAAAATTGTAATCTGTATGAAAATACATGTGTGTACACGTGGGCTTCTTTTTATCCATGTACACACCATAAGGAGATCATAGAAAGGAAGGAAAGAAACTGCGTGGCGATATTTCTCACCAATTGGGGATCGCAAATTTGATCCTACATGACATCCAGTTCGCTGAAAGGACGCTTATATTCCCCACGTTGGGGCGTACACTCATGTGTATATACGTCTATGCTCACGTCAGCCATTTTCCCTTGCAATATTTGTAAGTACACCATGATCTTTCACCCGCAGTGTGTAATGAGCCAGGACATTTGGGGTCCAATATTACAAAACGTAAAATTGAAAATTTGTGAAATGGAAAGACATGAATTGAAAAAAAATGAAATGAAAATTTTGAAATTTATAAGACATGTTATTTTATAAATATATTTTTTTTTTTCCACATTTTTATTCTGCATACTTTCCTCCATTTCGCAAGTCACCAAAGTTCGAAGAGCAACAGAAAAGTCTACATTAAAAAAAAAAAAAAAAAAGCTAAAACAGGCGGAAAAAAAACAAATCGATAGAAAAATTCTCTTATGTACCACTTCCACGGAATAAAGCAAAAATGAGGGTTCGCTCATGCATATATGCTTTTGCGGCCTTGCTATTTATCAATTCGATATTTGCTTATAGAAGATTAAAGGATATTAATAACTTGCACATTTTATCGCAGAGCTTTAAGGACATAAAACCGGTAAGTGTAAAATGCTTGCCTTATCTGCTTATTTATTTAGCTAGCATTTTTGTGCATGAACCAATGCATATGGTTTTCCTTGTTTTTATTCATTTTTTCTTATTTTTTCACATTTATTTCCCGTATATTTCTTCTTTTTCTTGTATTTCCTCGCCAGACCAATTTCCACCAAATTCGATCAAGGGCTAAGTCTGGCGCACCGGACCAGGTAGAACAACTTACGCCGTGCCGCATTGAAAAGGAGGGGACAGATGCCCACGTGTGCATGGCTCCCTTTTTATGTGTGCTTATCTCACGTGCGATCTCGCACCGATATTTGGATCTAAAAAAATGTAGCAAACCCCCCTTTGCGAAAAATTTTTATTGCCCCTACTCGCAGATGAGCATTGACATAGGCGATTGGACCATTTACATAACGCACAAAACACCGTACTACAACACGGAGAAAATTAAATCCATCTTAATTTACTCCATGACGTACCCGTTTAAGGAGTTGGAAGAGTTTAAGGAGTATCTTTTTGAGGAATAGCAACACATGGAGGGCTCGAAAAATGGTAAGCATATTTTGCCCAAATGAAGCAACACAAAAAAAATATTTAACAAAGTGGATGAAGAGGAATTTCCCCCA